GCATTCCCACAGTGCCCTCTGGTGGAACTCAGAAGCCAACTCAAATCTTCCATCCTTGTCACCTATTTGCTGTTGGCTTTGCAGAGAGGTTAATATATCAATGTGTATATCTGTTCTCCACCTAGACTAGGAGCTTTTTTTTTTTAAGATTTTTATTGGGGTATTGGGGGGAAGGGAACAGTGCTGGAGAATTGGGGGAAGGGGAACAGACAAGTTGCTGTCATTTTGTTCTTCAGTCTAGCTGTGGAGGACGTTGCTTAACTGGCCCAAGTTGGCACCATCATTGTGCTCTTCCCTGGTGAGGCAGATTAGTCGCCGGCTTCTGGAGGCCGCTCGCTGCGGCTGCTGGCTGCTCACGCTGGCTGCTGGCTACACACGGTAGCCCATGGAAACCCACTGCCACAGGGGCTGCAGCCTACACTGTCGCCGGCGACTCACGGCAGCCCAGCTCCAGGCTGAGCTGTTGTTCAGCATCTTAGCTGTAGAGGGCAGTGTCACTGGCCCTCATATGTGGGATCGGAACCGGGGCCCTCTGGCGTCCCAAGCCAGCTCTTAACCATTGCGCCACTCGGCCAGCCCTAGACTAGGAGCTTTTTGTGAAGATTCTCTTTGTCCCCAGAGCTTACCATTCATTCTTTCATGCATTCATTCAACAGTACTGAGCAGCCATGGTGCCAGGTGTTGTGCTTGGCACCCAGGGATACAGCAGAGGAGCCCGATGGTGTCCCTACCCTCAGAGCTCTTACAGTCAAGTAGTGGAGACAGACAAATAAATAGCCAATAACAATAGTGATGTATGCCATGGAGGAGGAGGTGCAGGGACCTATGGAAGTAATTTCTTTGGCTAAAACCCAACTATCAGTTTAGAGAAAAAGCATGGAACATTGAGGGATGGATGGCAAGAAAACAAGGCATGAAATGTAAACAGGAGCCAGATGAAGCTCGGATGTTATCCTAAGGTCCATGGGAAGCAACTGAACAGTTTTAAGTAGAGGAATGATGTGATTAGATTTTTGTTCTTTAAAGATCATTCTCACTACAGTGGAGGAGGCAAGACCAGAAGTAGAAAGGCCTGTTAGGAAGCCATTCGCTTGTCCAGGTGAGAAATAAATGTTTGGTTAGGAGGAGCACCCAGGGAGTTTAAGACACATCGGTAAAATCCCATTGCTTTCCATGGGTGGTAGGTATGTTTTCTTCTTTGTATCTTACATTACATAGATCCTGCCCTTGCTCCCTGCACGTGGGAATAAATCTCACTACCTTTCCCCACCTTTAGTTTTCCTTATTTAGCCAGTTACCCCCACTCCTCACCCCACCCCCCTTCAGCTGCAGCTGAAGTCTGGAAGCCTCTAGCAAGTCTCAAGTACTCCTGCTTCCCCGTCTTCACCCATATTATTTGCTTTGAGTTGAATTTATTCACATATCATGTGTGCTCCCTCCATTTGCTTATTCACAGCCTACTTGCCTTTAAAACATCAGCTCAGGGCCAGCCAAGTGGCGCGTTGGTTAAGAGCTGGCTTGGGACACCAGAGGGCCCCGGTTTGGATCCCACATATGAGGGCCAATGACACTGCCCTCTACAGCTAAGATGCTGAACAACAGCTCAACCTGGAGCTGGG